AGAGATCGTATTAAAAAGATTACGTAGTGAAGATCGCCCTTGCCCAATGGTTCTCAGAGATAAACAGAAGGTCGCGGTGATACCGTACATTCACAAAACGGCGCATGGCTTGAAAAAGGTGGCCAACAGATCAAACGTGAAAGTAGTGTTTTCCGCACCAAACAAACTTAGTAGATTATGTAGGATGACAGATCCTTTTTGTAAGACCCCTTCTGGCTGCGCGGTAAATCACAGGGATCCCTTCGTTGAATGTGCGGAGGGAGTAGTATATCAGATCCCCTTATCATGCGGAAACAAGTATATAGGTCAGACAGGTAGGTGTGTTAATGATAGGCTGAGGGAGCACAAACTTAAAGTAGGAAATTATCGGGACGGTCATCTGTCTGATCATTGTGAAAGGTGCAAGTGTATGCCGTTGTTTTCCGGGAGCAAGATTCTGGCACGGCACAAGGAAAAAACTGTGAGGGAGATAATCGAGGCAGATGAGATTAGGAAGGGTGGTGCAGCATGTGTCAGCGTGGCCTCAATTGATTTACTGGACAAGGAGCGTGCGTTCCTCAATGACGCGGCCTGGCACCGGGTTGGCTAGCGACGGAGCAAAATCAGAAACTCGGATGGTATAAAAGTGTCGTTTCACGTAATAAAATCAGTTGTTAGTAGCGCACTGTGCTGTCTGTTTCTCGCCTCTTTGTCCCTGTTTTTTGAGCGCTAAAATGTATTCCAAATTCCAAAACCAACTAGCCCAGCAATCGACTCTACTGAGTTTACACAGCAAGCTCTAGCCATGGCCGCTTCAAATTAGCAAGTCTATAGGCAGGCCATACCTGTGCGGTGCAAAATTAAGAAAGAGCGGAAGCAAACTCCTGTGCAGCATAAAAGCGAGCATCCGCAGATGAACTCCGAACTCATTGTCAGAGCAACTTCCCCAATCATCGTCTGTCAGGACCACAGTCTTGACGCTCTACGAGACAGGGGAAGCGTTTTGGGAAGCTAGCTGTCGGCAAGCGCTCAGCAGCAAGAGATTTCGCTATGCACCATTGAATTGCACCAAAGCAGAGATCATCGCTGTTGATTGTACGAAGCAACAACGCAAAAGGACCAAGACAACCAAGAAAGATTTGATTTGGGGTTAGATCAAGAAGACGGAAAAATAATATTTCTCCCGTTCGCTCCCGCGTGCACAAAGCCTCAGTCAATGGATGGGGGTTCGCGCCAATAGAGCTAAAGTTGGCGGCGTCCGCCACATTGCCGCCGATGGTCAGCGCCAGCTAAGCACAGCTATTGCGGAAGATTATAAAGATCGTTTCTTAACTAAAAAGAAAACAAATTAAAAACAAAGTGCAGTATATTCTTTGTTAACTGTTTATAATGAATGAAAATGTGCATAGAATTCATTTGCATCATTAAAAAAAGGCAATTTGACGTCGGTTTTGACACCGTTTCACTTTCAACAAGGATGGGCAGAATCCGTGCTTTCAATACCACATTAAAACATAGTTTTTATTATTTATTTCGCACTAGGAAGTATAAAAAACTCTAAAAGTGTGGTCATTATTTTTATATTTTAAAAAAGGGAAATTATTCCGAAATTATTTTTTTTTTCTGTCACGCGGGTCACGTGACGCGCATTTCAACTGGCGTTGTTCGGCCTACGCACCGTGTATCACCGGACAACTTAGTCGAGCTTAATGACAATTGGGAAATGCCAACGATCGTTGGTTCAATGATCGTCGAAACGGCCCGTGTAATTGGTTTCTTCTGTGTATCTCCATTTCTTCAATGTGTGCGTGTTCCTCGAACAATTTGGCGAGTTTTGTTGCTACCCGCACTCTGCGCTCTTGATTGTGTGTTTTGGGCGTGGGAAGATGGTCGACGATGATTATGCCTTGCCACGGTGGCTCTGGGCCTTCCAGTTGGCGTCTCCCCCCTGACCAGTAGCCCACGGTTTTGGGCAGTCTTCTTTCATGGTTTGTCTTCTCGAGCCTTTCGAAGTGCGCTGTGCTCTGTGCCTCTGCTAGGTCTTCTGGTTCATCCCTGCGTTCTTTTTTTTTTTTTAGCATAGAGGAGTCCTTGGAGGTGCTTTTATATCGCCAACGCTCTCCAATCGGTGAGTACGTGAGTCTCAGCAGAACCTGCGCTGGCCTCCGACAGATGATGTAAACAAAATCAGCACTGTGGCCTTGGTATTTAGAACCTGTTAATCTGAATCTTTTTTTTTTTCTTTTTTCTTTTTTCTTAAGTTTATTTTATTTCGCTAGAAAATCTACCCATACGAATCGTCCAGACACCGGTTCGCCAATTGTCAAGCCACCTAAAGGAACACCAAACGCACTTCTCCCAGATCTTCCCTAATCATCCATGAGAAGCGCGTTTAGGTTCAAATAACGACAACCAACAAACTGGTGGAACCAGAAAAACTAAAATATATTTATAAAGATCACAACTCAACACAAGCGTTGAGGAGAAATGCGCACGGCACATTAGAGGATATACGACCTCAAACGTGCATAAATTGTACAACATTATTTAGTGCGAAGAGTAGAAGAGTAAACATTTGTGTCAATGTTGAATCGCAGTGCACTCAGTTGACTCAGTGCACCGCGAATAAACATGCACGCCAGTTTGTAAAGACAAGGTCCGACCGTAAAAACTAACACATTTGGCATGCCTTACGAAATTCGAATTCCAAACATGCATACCTGAAATTGGGCACACGAAAGTAATTTCGCAAAGCCTGTTATGTATCTTTGTTTTTTTTTGTTTTTTTGTTTTTAGAAATCAAGTAAGATCTGGTGAAATGTTAAAAATAAATTAAAATCGGAGGCCGTATATTTCCAATGCCCTATACCATACCGTGGACTGCACTGTTCGTGGACTGCACACTGGTTTATGAGCTCGCTCTCGAGTGAACGCGAAAATACTAAGGATTCATAGTAGAGGCGCGCTATGAGCAAGATAATCGCGATAGTTAATACTTTTGTCAACATATATGAACAATGACCACCTAGTTTGGAGCAAGCTCACAAACCAGTGTGCAGTCCACGAACATCCGCTATAGTATAAACCATAGGAAATGCACGGCAGCCGTTTTGTTTCTATTTTAATTATTTCACCATCTCTGACTTCAGCTCTGGAAAAAATAAACTAACGAAATTTTTTTGCCGAACTACGTTCGCGTACTCAATTTCAGGTATGCACGCTTGGAGTCCAAATTTTGCAAGGCGTGTCAAATGTGTTGGTCCTTACGACCGCTTCCTGTGCAAAGGCAACTGAAAACACCAAAGGGCAGAGCAATTATAGGGATATCACGCAAATAACTCCCACATGGCAAGAGGTTTTTATGCTCGTTGCTGCATGGGGGATGAAATTCAAACCTACAGCAGGGCTGCTGAAAACATCGAGGGTGGTGCTGGGGTTGGTAGATGGAGCGTCGGTGGACCCATTGTTAAAGCTTTAAAATGATTTTTCCACTTCTTCCTCTTTGGCTTTCATCCTCAACTAAAGAGCGAAGTGACAAATCACGTGGTCGTGACCTGCTTCGGTACCGGATGCGATAACTCTAAGCTTCCACCGTGCTTTTTAAAGGGATTGTCGGATGATCGGACGTAGAGAGGGCCCAAATATAGTCATTTGAAATATTTATCTGATTAAAAGACGCCCCAATATTCGTTAAAACAATTATGGACATCAATACCAAACTTCACGCAAAATTTCTAAAGTATGCATGGCTGGTCGCGTCGTGACGTCACATCGGGCATTGTAACATCAGAATTGCGGGCGAGTTATTTCCGGTTTTGACCAACAAGGAGTAATCAAAGAACATCGTCGAAGAACTGAGCTTCCCTCAATGCCGTACATCTTGTCTTTCTTAGAACGAAGTTATTTAACTGAGACAGCAGTCAAACGCTGAGGTGGCTCTCTGACTGATATGACTGATATGACTTGATTGGGCCCGAGGACCAGTCAAGCTGCCTACTGCAGCTTTTTTCCTTTGGGCCCCCCATCATTTGATGGAAATAAAGTTATTATTATTATTATTATTATCTTACGTCAGATTTCAGCTGTTGCCAACGGATACGCTGTGTGTTTTGCAGGTGCGATCTGAGCAGTTGGAATTACTTTTGCGGCGGAGGATTCAAAATTCTGATATTGTGCGCATGGTATTCCTATACTCGGCGACAACTTTTCTTGGTAACGCAGTGGAAGGTACAGGCACGCGTTCCCTCTCCCATTTTCCCATTTCGAGCGCTGAACCAAGGTGTGCGCGGGCTCTCCTCCACTCCCCGGATATGCCAAGAAAAGTTGTCGCCGAGTATTAGCGTCGAGATGTTTTGGTGGCGCCCTCCCATGGCTCCCTTTCGTGACGTCATTACATTGCGAACAACAAGTTCGTTGGTGTTTGCAATGAGCATTGTGGAAGCTTGAAATCGTTACCCTCTCAAAGCGACACTGCCAACACCATCAAAATTCAAGCTCTTACATTCCTCTAATTTTCGTCGATGAGAAATCCTTTCCTGACGTCATAGTCAGCATTCGGCCAATCATGGCCGGCCGACCACAGCGACGCTTTCGGTCGCGCACGTCGCCAATAAAAGCAATGACAGTATAATATTATTGGGCAATCCATTTAGGCACACCATGGAACTTGTTATCCGCAAGTGATGGTAAGTGCCGCCACTGCTCTCGTTGGCCACGGACGCAAATCCAAATATTCGTCGACGGATTGACTTTTGACGAACGCATACGTCGGAGTGACGCGGTGCCCGTGTCCGATGCGTGAGTTGGGTTCGACTGACGTGTTTGGGCACCGCAGATGCATCACAAGGCGGAGTGCTTTCGATGGAATTAGTTAATAAATAGTCCGCTATATTTTTAAACCTTCGTACCGAAAAAAACGCTTTTGGCTGTCTACACTCGTGTACTACATTTTTTCCCCAGTAAACTATATGCGGTAAGTACACTCCCAAGCTAAAATAATTTTTCCCAGCCAAAAATTCATTTCATGCCCCCTTAACTCCACGGGATGCAATACCCGCTTCAAGAGCCATAGCGTAGAAGGACGACGTCGTGTCTGCTAACAATTGTGCTGGACTACCGACTTCAAGAATCCTTCCATGATCCATCACAACAATACGATCTGACGTGATAACGGAGTGAAGACGATGAGCTATAGTCAAGACGGTACACTCACTCATTACGTTTCTCAACGTCTGCTGAATCAGCAAGTCCGTCTTCGTGTCTACTGATGCAGTGGCTTCGTCAAGAACAAGTACCTTCGACATTCTCAACACAGCCCTCGCGAGACAGACCAGCTGCCGCTGACCCACGCTGAGGTTGAGCCCGCCTTCTGACACCTCGAAGTCTAGGCCTCCATTTTTTCGGAAGGTATCCCCGAGGTGCGACCTGTCCAGGGCTGACCAGAGTTCTTCAGTGCCGTACTGGCCGGCAGGGTCAAGGTTAAACCGTAGAGTGCCGCCGAACAGAACCGGGTCCTGCGGTATAATGCTTATTCTGGACCGGAGGTCGCGTAACCTCAATGTTGCAATGTCCACGCCATCGACTACGATGTTGCCAGCTGCCGGCTCGAGGATACGGAAAAGACTTAGGGCTATTGTCGATTTACCGGCACCCGTGCGGCCCACAATCCCGACTTTCTCACCGGGACTGACGTCGAGGTCAATATCTCTGAGAACCAGGTCCAAGCCCTTTCGGTACCGAGTGGAGTAAGACCTGAAGGATACCCGACCCGTCCAGGGCCAGCGTGGGTCCGGTCTGAAGTTTGCCACCAACGGTCCTTCGGGAGTAAGACGGCTGTACTCGTCCAAACGTTCGGCTGATACCAGACTCGCTTCAACCTCAGTTGAGCAGAAAATGAAATATGTGAAGTAGTATAAGGCATTCAACATGTAGGACACTAGAAGGCCGGTTGTTCCCGCACTTATCTTGTCGCGACTGCCAATGAGTAGCAGCAGTATCGAGAACAGAAGCATTTCACTGGCCAGTTCCAAGCATACTTCACTCCAAAATCGCAAGAAAAGCACGTTCACAGTACAGGTCTGCATACTGTCAATCTTTTCGTCATATTCTCGTAAGAAGACAGCTTGAACGGCGTAGCTCCTGACACTGCTCAAGCCCGCCACTGTTTCCGAGAAGTGATTGTTAACTGGGGAACGCGTAACGCTCTCTAGCCTCTTTACCTCGCGAAACCGTGCCATGAACACGCGAAATATCACCACCACAAACACCAATACAGGAACGACGATCAGGATGTATATGGGAATATTAACGCATATCAGGAAAATCGATGATGCTAGAAGAAGCAATAAATCTAGCGTAGTAAGTCCTGCCGTCGGAAGTTGTACATCAAGCTGGTCAACGTCCTTGCTGAAGCGGTTCAGCAAGCGACCGGAGAGATTGGTTTCGAAAAAGGACAATGGAGCCCTCATCACACCGTCAAGCACCAATTTATGAAGCTTTGTGGAGGCGGAGAGCGCCACTTTCCAGAACGTTACGACTGCAAAGAACATAACAAACGCCTGGACAATGCCAAGGAGGACGTAAACTTCCATCCTGTAGTGCTGCAAAGATGTGTCCTGGGTGCCGTTAAGAAACTGGGCATCGTTGGTCCATTCGCTCAGCCAGATACCCATGTAAGCTCCGAGCGCGGAGTGAATGACGTAACACAAGATCGCGATTACCAAACAGGGCCCAGCGTGCCTTAGGTAGGCCCTGTATACCTGAAGACTGATCGAGCCCTCTTCCACTGTTTCTTTCTCCACAAGAGTCGCCGTCAACTTCTCTTTCCCAAGTACTCTCTCCTCACCTCGAACTATAGACAAATCCTCGTTTTCTGACAATTTTCGAAGCTTCTTGGAAAAGGTCTGCAGCAACCCTGAGAGAATACTCCCTTCATTCTTAAGAACATCGAATGTGCCACACTCGACAATCGACCCTCCCTGCACGACGACAATGTAATCCACTTCACTGAGCACCAAGAGATTATGGGTGACCAGGATTCTTGTGGTGTCTTTCAGCATTCCTCGCGGTCCAATAAGGTCCTTGAAAAGGGAAGCACCAACGTGAGCATCAACTGCGCTTAGTGGGTCGTCGAAGAGAAAAAGGTCTTTTTTCTGGTAAGCTGTTCTGGCTAGACTGACTCGTTGCTTCTGACCGCCGCTTAAATTGATCCCATTTTCGCCAATTTCCGTCAGGTCTCCAGATGGAAGGATCTCCAAGTCTCTCTCAAGACAACACGCCTTCAAAACCATATCGTACACTTCGGCATCGTATGCTCCCATGAAAAGCACATTTTCTTTTATGGTTCTATTTTGAATCCACGGACACTGTGGAGCATACGCAACACTTTCTACCAGGTCCACTGATCCCGAGCAAACGCAAAGGTTTCCCAACAATGCAGACACCAAAGACGACTTGCCGGAGCCAACGGGCCCAACGACAGCGATCAGTTGACCTTTCTTGACGGTTAGGTTAATGTTTCTCAAGACCGCGGCTCGCTCTTTCGACCAGGAAAACGTTCCGTTTCTTATTGTTATCGCATCTGCCTCGTCCGGTCGTCGACCGACAGAATAGGCGTCCACTTCAGAGGACAGCAGAAACTCTCGAATCCTCGTTATTGAAACCCTCGTCTGTACAACGTTAGAAAGGAAGTTTGGGATTATAAACATCGGATACTGCATATTGTAAAACAGAGTTAACGACACAAACGCGGTGCTAGGGTCGAGAATATGATACTCGCTGATTAAAACGTAGGTTACGAAGCTCGCCAGAGAAACCATGGACGACGAACATGTAGAAATGCAGATATTAAGGGCAGTCAGATACGAATATTTCTTGAGCAAACCCATCTCTTCTGACCGCACGACATTGCACTTGTCAATAAAGTTACTTTCCCAGGCGAACAGCTTGAGAACCTTCACGTTGGTTAACATCTCCGCAAGAATATTTAGCCTCTTATCTTTGAGCTCCATTTGACCTGTCTGATATTTGTTCCCGATGCTAACTATTACGGCCATTACGGGCATTATAACAACCATGACCGCGACGCCGGCCAGGCAGGCCACACCGAGGAACTGCCACAAAAGTAGAACAGCCATGATTATCAGCGGCAACCCACTGGCCACATAACCAGCAAAGAGGCTGAGTTCAAAAATCCGATCAGCATCCACAGAGATCAAGTTAACCAGATCACCGATCGTGTAGTGCCTCTGCGACTCAGTGGAAAGTCTGAGCATTTTTCTGTAAATTTCCGCCAACAGGACCGTTTTCACATTTAACCCAACAAACGCCAGCATCTTATCAATATGAAGAGAAAGAAGACGCGACGCAAAGTTGGCGCTCACTATACTGAGGGCGTACAATATTCCTTTCCAGTTATGTTCATTCCCTGTCATGTAGTTCAAAAGAAAATGCAGCAAAAGAGCAGTGATAGTCTTGAGTAGTGCTGCTAAAATGCACAAAATGCACGAAAGTACAACAGTCTTCCAATACGCCTTCCAGATTGACTTGAAAAGCGAAGGCAGCGGTCGAGAGCCACCACACGATCCGTCTCCCGGTACGTACCCAGCTGAATCAAGCTCCTTTTTCCATATCGCACTCCACTCAGCGTGGTTTGGCCGAGTCATCATGTCCGGCGGTATGCCGTACATATCTTCAACTTGAACGCAGCGTCTTGATCTTCTAAGTACGAAAGGTGACAACCAGCCGAAGAGAATGAAAGACACAGGCGGTGCGGTGAGGTAGGGCCTTCTCGTGTCGTGCTTGCCGTCCGTCCAGCATGACAGCAGCAACTGCAGAATGACCAAAGGATAAGCTAAAGCACACACGAAGAATTCTAGTTCCGAAAAGTTAGGCGGGTCACTGTCCGTCGCGAAAGCTTCCCGAGTGCGGCGGTAGCTCTCCGGGAGCTTGCACAAAGCTGTCAGCAACCAGAAGGAAAACAGCAGCATCGAAGATCCTGCCCCGTTCCTTCGGTCGTTCTCAAGGACCATCAAGGTGATTGTGAAGGCCAAGGCGTGTACAACGTCCGCTGCGATCGACGAACCGGACGACGTCCCCATTACTAGTCTGTAGATGAGCGAGAGAGCGTAAGTGAGGGTCAACAGACAACTTGCGACGCATCTGAACGCACTTAGCGGGGTCCAGGCGACTGGTTCACAGTACAGGGGTTGCTCCCTTCGTCTTCCCACCAGCCACGGGATGCTGCCAAACAGGACAAGAAGAGCTGCCGGTGTGTAGGCCAGAACCGTAGTCTCGAAGCATGGCGTAAACCTCGGGTAGTCCGAGTACCACGTATAATCCCAGTCCCACAGGGGTGAAGTGCAGAACCGGGTCATCATTCACTCGTTTGTTGCACAGCAGCCGTTGACGACTCGACTTTTCACTGGGAGAGTTCGCACATGCGATATCGCAGTCTCAAGCCTGCGCGCTAGCGACTGTGTGCAAAACGACAAAAAGCAAAAATGAAACGCAGCCAGCTGAGCGGTGAACCGTTTTCCGTAAACGCCTAAACTTATTTTTGCAGAAAAAGAAAAATAGTAGGTAGGAGCGAAAGGGACAGCTGCTCGCTAAACGATAATGTTTCTCTCTTTTATTTTTAAGCAAAAATTCAATACATCGCTTTGCAGGTACGGGACAAAACGACCGACATCGCTTTAATACACAACACCAGTTTCATGAAGCTGTCAAATCCAACACAGCGCTCTGTGAAAACAAACGCTAAACCACAGGTGCCACAGCTTGGCCACCAGCTGTAGAAAACGAGCCTGCAACTCGGGGTCATCCGGTTGGAGTCCTTCCTCCGCCGATCTGACGCGCACGTACGTCAAACGCATGTAGCCGTTAAAAACATTATTTTCCTTGTTTCAACCTGGGTGCCTTTTGAAAACAGGAAGAAGCAATCGGCTTCCAGGTGTGTTAACCATAAAAGCTGTTGACTGGATAATTGAACACACGCGTTCTCCGGTTTAGGTTACGATGGACCGCAGCAGACACTCTAAGAAATGCCTGCACGTCTACTTACCCACAAAATACTCTAAGAGCCAATCATTGCGATCTAAGAAGTCAGCTCAGCGAATGATGGGGAGGAACATCCGTTTAGACCTAAAAATGAAGTCTGCGCTGTGGCATTACGCAATGCAAATCGTCGTGCTTGCATTGCGTAATGCCACAGCGCACACTTAATTTTGAGGTCTAAACAGACGTTCCGCTTCATCATTCGCTGAGCTGATTTCGTAGATCGCAATGATTAGCTCTTTGAGTGTTCTGCGGGTACGTAGACGCGCAGACAGGGATTCCTTAGAATAAAGGCAACGAGCCGTCTCGGCCAATCCCGCGCCATGAAAGCGTCACGTGACCAAGCGTCGCACGCGTTGCTGCACCACTCCCCAAGGGCGCGTGACACTTCCAAGGCACTGGATTGGCTTTGGTGACTCGTAGCGTCCCCTATGGTCCGCCCTAACGCGAAATGCAGTAAAACGATCGATTTTACAGTTGAGCGTATTATATTGTCGCCTCATGTTTCAAATTTCGAAGGATTAGAAAATTCCGGGATGGATCCGACCGCCAATAGTATTCCTCTAAATGTCGTCTGCAACACGTAAAAGAAGACTATGCGAGAATCACGGGTATAAGCTTGATCAGGATCAAAACGGAATCGAAAGCGCCGTCGACGCCTTTGGTGGATTCTGCGGGCTGCTGCGGCGATTGAGTGTACGGTTACGCGCACACCGGTATCGGATTCTCTAAGGCTGTGTTCCAAATCTTACTCAAATAGATCCGAGCTACTCCGCAGGGTCGTGTCACGTGATAACACAGATAGAGCGACGCTGGACGCGGGTAGGTTTTCGAGCGGAAAGGAACAAAACCCTAACCCTCGAGTAAGATCGAGTGAATTTTGGAACACGGACCAAGATGACGGTTTACCGCGAGTAAGGGATTTTAAATTTTGGTGGGGATAAACAGGCAGAAAGGTTTCTACCCAACAGTCAATCAATCCCGACATCCTGCTCGATTGTGAGGTGTCTGAAAATGTGTCGTCGAAGTTGAGCATCGATTTCCCGGTAGCGGAGTTGGAATGAAATATATCACTGTTGCGTAGGTTTATTTCATTTGTATACGCGTTCTTGAACTGTAGAAACTTTGAACACTTTGTTCGACGAATCAATAAAAATTAAGCGAAACATCCAATAATGTAACAGCGTGGTGGTCATTTGATAACCACCAAGGTCAGTGGGATCGCCGCCAGAAGCTGACAACTGGTGCTGCGAACTTTTTTTATTTAGTTATTTATTATCGCTCTATCGTTCAAAATACAATCGAAAGAGCAAGCCTAGAGCACCGAAGTCTCAATATTTTGACATCGAATGAGTTAGCTTAAACCCCCACCGTTTCCCCGAGCAACACTGTGTCTACGATTCCATCGGAATATAGTTATAGGTGAAACAGGTTGCAGTCACAAACAGAATGAAAAAAGCGGAAGAGAGGACAGTCAGTTGTCTTCTCCCGCCTCCAGCGCGAGTTCCCGCACCTTCGGTAACACATTGTCGTCGTCTCATGCATTGCGAGCGCGCACGAGTAACCAAAGCACGTCGGAAGACAACGAACGCAAGTTGGTGACCGGGCCTCTGAGACTTCCTGCCATTATCATCTCATCTCTGACTATAGAGGGCCAATCCGGCACGTATGCAGGGGGTTGCCCTGGGGGGCCGGGTCCCCCCAAAAGTAAAAATTGGCTCCCCCCCCCCCCCCCCCCCCTTCATGAGTAAGGAAAGAGAAAGCGCATAAAAGTGGCACACTCCTGCAAACTGATATTTGTGTTTCCCGACGGTGCCCTTAGGGCGACGCCCGCAGTTGGCAAGGACAGGCAGGCAATGTAGCAGGTGCACTTTTCCAGTCGTCCTGCGGTCGGTGCCGAAGCACAACGTATACAAACTAAACGTTACGGAATCCAGCCTTCCCTAAGTCTCACCCACCTCAATAGGGAGTTTTCATAGACCGCGTTGCTTCCTCCGCTAAGCGTTCCGCAACGAAGCAGTTGCTACAGCACCTGCGCGCCGATAGCCTTGACTGTGGAGTTCCCGCTATCGTAGCGGGTTGCGGAGGGCCTTGCGGGACGGCGAAAACGACCTACGAAAACTCCCTAATAAACAGATACCAAGAACGAGCGGCACAGTAGTGAAACCACGGGATGCCGAAAGTCCTAGAAAGCATTCCTCCTCAAGACCTCGAACAGATTCCGAAATTCTGAGGACCGAGTCGCTTACCCGATTCTTTCCAACACGATCCTAAGCCGAAAGTGTGCCCAATCCGGGAGTCTTGAAAGTCATAAATACGCCGAGTAAATGTTCCGCCCACCTTACGCTGGTATCGAGCCAGTATACCACCATGGTACTAGACTCCAGCAGCAGGTTGTCCCGTAGGAAGGCAGTTGGCGAGGCAGTACGTTAGATCACCCGTTTCCATTCTTCCTTTCTCGAGATTAGTCCGGCTTTTGTGACACTCCTCTCTGTTCGTGTTTGAATACAGTCAAGTCTGCCCGGCCCTATGTGAAAGGATGCTTTCACATAGAGTGGCTCACTCTATGTGAAAACATCCTCCTCCGCTTCGTTTCTTTCTAGGGCTTGTCGGAGCTGCTCCATCACTTTCTATTAGCTATCGACGTCACTGCTCAAAACAAAAATCGCCGTACGACGCAGAGTTTCATGGTGTGTGCGAACAATCTGCGCTCTGCCGAATGCGCCGCGAGCCGCCAGCTAAGTACTTCTATATATACCACCTCGAGACGGGGCACGAAAACGGGGCTAGCCACGGCTCCAGGCCTCCGCAAACGAAGAGAGTCAGCACTGAAGTTAACAGACTTTTTCTCAAAAATGCGAATGTGTTGAATAACAGAGGATTCATTCGTCGAACAGAGGCATTCGGAGCGCGTAAAAAGTATCTTAATTACAAAAGCGCAAAGGACAAGGACAGGACAAAGAACGAACTTGTCCTTGTCCTTTGCGCTTTTGTAATTAAGATGTTTAACCAACTAGCCCAACAGTTAATTTTAATTGCGTAAAAAGTAAACTCGACTTGCCTGACAAATGACAGGTGTAGTTGTAGAAGATACAATTACAATGCGTCATACTGGGTCGTTAAATACAGTTTACTTAGGCGCTCATCCAAAAGCCTCCCCCCCCCCCCCCCCCCGGGAGCCAAAATTTAGAGTATTTTGAATGACGTGGGGGGGGGGGGCACCCCCCGAAATAAAATCCTGGCTACGTGCCTTTGGAGTACTTTGAAGTTATCAAACAACTTGGCAATCGATTACTTTTCTTAATACTGAAATCATTTGAATACATCTATTAGAAAGTAATAACAGCAGTAAGCCGATTGCATTTGGAACTACTAAAATTACTCGTAACAGTTACTATGTTTCTCTTTTTTTTAATGTCGCCCTTTGTTCTTATAAGTTTCGTACGAAGGAATCTTCGAACGAGGTCTCCGACTAGAGGACGTTCAACGAAATTCGTGGATTAAGAAGGTAAGTAGTTTATAATTCGGTGATGCTAATCGAATGGACAGTACGAAAAACCCGTTGTTAAACAGATAAAAAAAATGTGTCGTTTTGAAAATCTGAAGTAACCGGAAAAGTAACGGCAGCGTTTTAAGGCAACAGCCGATTACTTTTCTTCTCAAGTAATCGGGTAATCTAATTGAATACCTTTTAACCAAAAGGAGTAATTGTAATTTGAATCAATTACGTGTTTTTTTTTCGAGTAATGTACGTACACGATTGGTGAATAGTCAACCCTGTATAGTATAAACAAAGAACTGCAATTAATAACATTGTTCAATAATATTTCGTTAACACTTTTACCAATTTAACCGCAAGAACAGCTTCGAGACACAAATTTTGCTAGCGCAACAAGTTATCTTCCCAATGCGTTGTTTTCTTGGCGGGAGGGGGGGGGGGGGGGGGGGGGGCAGTGCTACTCTGTTTTTGCGCTGTTTTGTCGCATAGTATACCCGAAATACTCGACATACACTTCCTTTCTGCTGGTGTTCGGCCAACAATAAAAATTAAAGCTCCTACGCCTTTTGAAATCGTCTTTATAATAGGTCTTTGTTCGTTTACCATAACCGATCAATCCAATCACGCCCATCGAACGAACAGTGATCCTGCACTTTTTCTCCAAAGACTATAGAGGCGCCGTGACTATGCGCTTTTAACACTGCTTGATCGGCACCGTCGGATGGTAGCGTTGGCTGCGGTCAAAACGGAGTAAAGTCACGCTCCCACTATTTCCTCTCCCCATTACGAGCTCCCCTTTCAGCGTCTCTTCTGTCCCCAGAA